CTGGACACATGACTGCTGGCACTCAGGAGTCCCTCTGTCAACCACTGGCTCCTTCCTCCTCAATCTCTTGCATCACCTGGTGGTCATCAGCCACTCAGTTGTCCACAGGATGTCGTCAGCTGGTCATTTTATAATGAAGCCTGCTCTCTCTCTGGCTCGGGGCTTCACTATCTCATTTGGGGAAAGGGTAGGCAGTTCCCTCTCCTCCTCCCGACCATCTCTGGAAGCGTTCCTCTTTAAGACATCAGAGCGGAAGCCTTTCTCCTCATTCACATTTTGTCCCACAGGTACTTTCACTGAATTGTTTTCCTTATGTGGGGGACCACTATCAAGGCTCTCTTTAAGATTCTCAGGTCTGTCAAGTGCAATCGTAAATGATTGGTTGGTTTTAGATACACTGCTCTTGTTATCTGATTCTGTTCCTTTATTCAGGGATATGTCAGGTAGGGGTTTGCCTTGCAAAATTTTATGATTTACTTTTTCTACCCCTGCCCAAAGCAATTTTCTCCCTGCTATAGTTCTCAGTTCTACTACTGCTCTTTCCTGGGCCTCATGCAAGCTTTTTTCTTTTCCAGCAGCACTTCCCAAGCTTGGATGTGCCATCTCTAAGGACTTTTCTATATATAAAAGCTCCTTATACAGGCAAGACCTTGCAGGGTATTCAGGAGACAATAACAAAGTGGGTGTACTGGTGTCTGCTTCAAAGCAATCTACCAAACTAATCTGCTGCTCCTGAGCCAAACTATTTTTATTTGGTGTTTTCACAAGCCTGAGGTCAGCTTCAGCACCACTCTTCAGCTGGGTATCCATGGAAACCTCTCTCTGCAGGCTCCTATCTGATACTGTATCAATTCCAGCTGCAGAGGGTGATTCCTGGCCTCCTGGTGAGAGTGTAAGTGCAAAAGCACTCTTAACATGTTCTATTAACTGCAACCCATCTCCATATTTCTGGTCTTCGTCAGTCACAGATTTCTCTGGGCGTTCAGGGGTTAGTGTAGTACCCTCTTTCAAAGAACTGTCTTCCCTCTGTTCCTCATTACAGGAAGGAACATTAAGGGTTTTCAAAATACTCTCATCAGCCATTTTGGTTAACTCATGGTCCTTTTCTGAACTGGAGCATCCCTGAATAGATTCAGAGGTTAGGGAATCAATTTTTCCCTCAGAGGCGTCCACAGTTCCCAAGCAGTATACTTCCTTGATCTGGCCATTATTCTCCACATTTTTAGGTTTAATTTTTGTACAATTGTATTGTAAATGACCAGGCTTGCTGCTTTTGTAATTCCTTCTCTCATCCTGAGGAGATCTGGTAAACATTTTCTTCAGGGTTCACTTGGTTCTGAGGACTAGCCCAGGCCAATCTAGGTGAAGCACTACCCTGGCCCTCCCTTCCTGTTGTTTTGCGGAGGCAATCTTCACCAAAGGCTGCTTATTGTTGTCCAATCTTTGCCTGCCAAAATCTACTTCAAACTGTACATCCAATTGAAAGCACATCTGTTTAATTTCCAAATCTATTTGTCTTCTTTCCTGCTCAAGTGCCCTTTGAATGGCCTCTTGCTCAGCTTTTCCCCTCCTTTCTAATCTACTGATTTTCTTTTTGTTCATTAACTCATTCATTTTAAATTCCACTTGTAATCTCCATTTTTGAAAATCTAGGAGGCTTATAACACCTTTCCTCCCTGAGGCATCATCCCCCTGAGCTTCATATTGCTCAACTATTTCCTTGAGGATCAGTTTTCTCCTGTTCCATTTGAATTAAGGGATCCCAATTTCCCTCCAATTCATGAGGTAAAACCTCAGCCTCAGGATTCCCCCTTGTGGTACGTTTGGGTGGCATATTTACTTCTGGGATGAGTAGTATAGAGTGTTTACTGATTTTTAAAGGACCTATCTTTCTTCTCTCACTTCCAGTCACTAAAATATTTCTACTTCAAGCAAAGGCTTTCCTTTTTCTTCCCTCAGATCTGCTCTTACCCTTGGCTTCTGCTTTTTCACAAACGCTCTCTACCCTTGGAGCCTTGAGCCTTAAGCTAGCTGTCTGGTCCTCAGATCCTGAGGTAAAATACAATAATTTCCTTACAGAGTCGTTCCCTAACTTAGACCCCCTCCCAGATCTGGGTTCAGAAGCCCCCACCACTAAGCTTTTCCCAAAAGCTCTAGTGAGGTACCAAACGTCTTTGCCACAGACCTCTGTCTAAAAGGTACCCTTGACTCAAGAAAAAATTCTTTTTATACTCAGGCTTGACTGGAATTCTTTGAATTCAAATCAGGCTTCACCGGGTTTCTTAGAGTTCAACTCAGGCTTCACTGGATTTCTTTGAATTTCACCACTGGTCACCAATTGTGGCGTCCACCCTCGTGCCCCTTTGCTTGATCTTCAAGCCTCAGAGCACACGAAGGCAAACACTCTCCTCTTTAACACTGCTGCGACCAGGTGATCCCTAAATCACCATTACTTCAGAAAGATTCAGGTCCATTCTTCAAGTTCTTTTAAATACAACTTTGGTTTATTGATTACAGAGATTAATTCATAAATATCTTCAGTAGCTTATCACACCTCAGAATTTCTCAAACTACACACTCTATTACACTCCCTGACTCTTACTCTCTACTGCCCACCCGACTCTCTCAGGCTCCGCCTCTTATAGCATCTCTTTTGGCTCCGCCTCTCAGCAACATTAATATGCATGAACCATTATTACATAACAAAAATAAACCATTACATAATATAACATGAACCATAGACCTAATAGAGAACACTACAACCGGTAACTGCTACTTCCTGTGTTATTTTGACGCTGTATGCGAAACTGGAGTGTCCTCTCCAGATCATGAAGGCTGGGTAAAGTAATATGGAGGATAGGCTGTTACCCAAGCGGCCAATCCCCCCTCTCCATGTCGCTGAAATAGGCCAATGGAAAGGCAAGAGCCAATACAACTGGTTCCAGTGACGTTGAAGGAGTTGACAGAATGACACGAACTGGCTCTGGGACTCTGGCTCTGGATTTTGCCTCAAGGTTAACTCCTGACACCTTTTCCATCTGTGGATATAGCCACAAGGCAGTGGAGGTTTGGAGTTTTCCTTCTCCTAGATGGACTGCCTTCCAAGGCTTATGAGCCCCATCTACCCGGCCTGCTCCCTAATAGTGCAGAGGTAGGGACCAGCTGTCAGTATCATACCAAAGTCTTGGTTATTGGGGTGGATCCTTCCCCAGCACTGAACTGCTGTTGAGTTTCCTATAGTGTTGCTCACAGTGGGAAAATAAGGGTAAACAGATGGGGCATTTCTGGTCATGGTTCCATCCATCTTGGAGTGCTCCATTAACAAATCCCAGAACACTGACATTTGAACTAAAATGCTTATGGGCTGAGGATCACAATCAAAATACTGAAGGTTTAAAGAGAACCAAAGTTCATTCCCCACCCTAACCGCTTCCATTCTCAGAGTCTCATGCAAAAGCATTGGAGAAGTTGCTGGACAACCATCATGTGGCCTGGAGAAGCGCCCACTGTTACCGTGGTATATCTGACTGGCAGATGTTGGTCACTAATCTGCTGGACTGGCTTCCTAAGCACAAGCTGCTGACAAAGTGCTGGATGAAGCTGCCTTTCATCTTCCATTTCTGATGATGGTGTCATGCCTCCAATTTCCTATCTTCTTCAGAGTTGTTGTAACTTGTGGTCACTGGTGATTTCCGTGGAGCAGTACAAAAGCAACTGCAACATATGCAGTGCAATAGAATTGACTTCCTCACCCTGGTTGTCTTTTGAGGAAAGGTCTTCCTGGGTCTTTCCCTCTTTTTTCTTTTTATGTGTTGATGGCAAGCTGTTTTCCTCTCTTGAAGACATGATGACTCTACCTAAAGTCTCTGCTGGACCAGATATGTATAAAAGTGACATCACAAAGTGTGGTCAAGGTATTGTTACCCGGTGTGGGGCTGCCATTCCCAAGGTTACTAAATCACATGGGTGTTGTAGTCTGTCTGCGCAAACATCAGTCCCGTTCATGGGAGGCAATAGGGCTGCAGCTTTAATGAGAAACTGGGGAACAAAACCTTTTCAAGGTACCCATTGGCGTAACTGGGCATCTGATCGTCCAGTTCTATGATCAGATTTTGGCTCCACCTGTCATCTTCGATGATTTTCAGGGACGTCCTCAGAGTTTTCTTTAAATAATCCCTATCATCAAATTTTATGAGATACTTCCTTAGGTTTAGTTAACATTTACCTTAGAACTAGTCAAATCTGCTTCAGCAACAATAAAAAAATATTAGTGTGGGTGGATCCTCAACAGGTCCTTTAAAAAGCAAAGCAAACATTTTAAAAAAATTATAACTGATGCAGTGCATCAGCGATAGCCTACATAGAGTAAAAAAATTTTTTCGCCTCCCCTGCCTTCTGCTGAGAGAGGTGGAAAAAAAATTCTTGCCAATATCCTGAAGTAGCTTGCTCTTAAAGTCACTTTACAGTATTGGCAGGAGTCATTTCTATGTGAGCAGCCAGGCTTGATTAGCCTGGTCTAATCAAGCCTGACTGTTTTCAAGTAGCCCTCACTAGCTTGCCCTCTGCTTCTAATGTAGCGTACCCTTTGTTAAACTTAGAGATTTTTAAATGTTTTTAATTTTTTTTTAAAAAAATCCTGGTTTTAATCTTGTGTTTAATAGTTTTTAAATATGTTTTTTAAGGCATTTTAAAACTGTCAATTGTTGGATAGTTTTAGCTGTTGTAAGCTGCCTTCAGCAGCATATAAACAAACAAATATTGTAGTGCATTTAAGACTAAAATGTTTATTTCAGCTTTCATGGACTGCAAGCTAGTTCTTCAGACCCAGATGTGTCTGAAAGCATTCCATTCCATGATACCCAACAGGAATCTGCCATTAGCCTTTATATGTGCCACAATACTTTTATTACTTATAGATAAACTACTTTGTATGCAAAGTGAAGGAGAACATCACTGTAGAAAAACAGACTCTCATTTCTTCTTTTTGTTGTGTAACTCAGGTGAAAAAATGACAGAAGAAGAAGTGGACACCCTGTTATCTGGGCATGAGGATGCCAATGGATGCATTAATTATGAAGGTAAGACGCTGTGACTTCATTCACTTGTGTGTGATCTGGGAGGGCAGGTGCCAAAATGGTCACATGGAACAACGGAAAGATTGTCTACTACGAAACCTAACAATAGACATTTGGTTCCACTTTTCACTGTCATGGTTCCATCCTGTGGTCTGTATTTGGGTGAGGACACAGTTAGGATTCTTTGCTGTCGTTCAGGGTTGGGCACCAGATCTCTCTCTCTCTCTCTCTCTCTGGCAGAGGCATCGCTAACCCAACTACAGTATATATCTTAGGAATCCATAAGATGGAACAATGGCAGTTAAGCTGCCATTGAAACTGTGTGGTCTAGATACGCATACAATATGCAGAACAGTTCTCCATAGAAGCAACTCTGAAAAGAAAGTGTGTCAATAATATGGTGGAGGTTGCAAAGTTGTACATCTCTAACGCGCACAACTTTATGGGCGCGTACCCAAGTGTCTGATATGTTTGGTGGGCTTTGTGTGTTTCAGTGTTCATGTGTTGATGGGAATGCAATACTGGGTGTATAAGATGCAGCCCACCATCCTGAGCCTGCTGCCCAGATGCACCAAAATTACTGGCCCTAATCAGCTTTACTGGCAGTGAAGGCCAACCGGGCTGCTGTCTTGGGACGCCCCACATGAGCTTGTATTTCTGATGCCAAAGTGACTCATGACTGCTTATCTATCTACAGTATTTATTATTTATTTGATTTATTTGATTTATATATTGCCCATCTCACCAGAAGCCACTCTGGGCATTTTACAACATAAGACAGTAAACAATAAGTAAAAGGTGAAGCCTAGACACCAAATTAAAAAAAACTGTATTAATACAAAAAAGAAATACTAGCATAATAGATCATAATAACATCCATAAAACATTTGAACGTTCAAACACTTAAAACATTTTAAAACATTTAAAACACTGCAACCTTATATTAAACTCATGATAAACTATATGTTTATCATTATTTGTGTTAAACTAATGATAAAATATAACAGTAAAGTAAAAAATTGTAACTAAATTACAAATGCTATATGTATGTATATAATGGTAGATATAAATAATGTGAATAAGCCCTATTTGATCTGAGATTCAAGAAGTGGCCAAAGTAGCCACGCTGCCCAAATGACTAAAACTGGGCAGCTGGTAACTCCTAATAGTTAATGAAAAATAATTGAGGGTGCACAAATGCCAGTAGTGTTTTTTTTTTTAATTGCTCCAGAGATGGTTATGCAATGGCAGCACATTTACTTCCTGCAGTGGCTCCCAATATTGGGCCCCCAGATGTTTTTGGAACAAAACTCCAAATGGAAGTAGCTAAAACAGTTAGCAAGCTTCTAACTATACATCTATATATGTACAGTGGGGAAAGCTGTCAGGGGTGATTGACAGCTTAAAATACCAACTGCTGGTATAAATGGAGAGAGGCTCATTTTAGTTTTCTAATTACTGTCTTTCTTCTCTTCCACAGCCTTTGTTAAACACATCATGGCAAGCTGAGCTGATGTCAGCAAGTACATGCTGCATTTCCACAGGTATTACATTTTTCTGGATTTATTCCCCCCCAACCCCCGGCCAAAATTTTCTTTCCTTCAACCTCTCTAGTACTGAAAGCTTTCTGAGATGTTCAGATTGTGTTTGATATTCTGGAGCAACCACATTACAGTGGCTGCTGAATCTGCCGACCACATGCATATGCAGCAAAACAGACTCAAAATTTCTCAAACATGGCTGTGTGCACTGGGTATTCTTTTCCATTTTTTATCCCACCCTAAACATCTGTATGCAAAACATTAAGGAATGAAGCAGCCTGGAATCTCACTGTTACCCAGTGTTTCAAATTTTAATTTTCATGGGAGAAAATAAAATATAAAAATTTAGTCAGACAATATTGTTCCTTTATTATGGCCACCCAAAATGTCACAAAATTGTGTATAGGCTTTGCAGTTCTCTAGAATTCTTCATCAGACTAAAGTGTACAAAAAAACAAGGGAAGTGAGAAAAAGCAAAGAACTTTTAAAATTGTGTTTTTGACTGGTAGTGCTGGAGACTTTCTGCCTCTGGGAACACCCCCAGTCTCGAGATACAAACTGCTGGCTAAATACAGTGGTGCCTCACAAGACGATGTTAATTCGTTCCGCGAAAATCGCTGTCTTGCGAAAACATCGTCTTGCGAAATGCGGTTCCCCATTGGAATGCATTGAAATCTATTTAATGCGTTCCAATGGGGGGAAAACCATCTTGCGAAGCATCGTTCATAAACAAAACAAAACAAAAAAACAAACACCGTCTTGCAAAGCATAGACCCAAACATCGTCTTGCGAAAATTGTCCATAGGAAATACCGTCTTGCGAAGTGCAACAGCGATCACAAAAACCCATCTTCTTGCGAATTAATCGTCCTGCGAGGCAATTGTCTTGCAAGGTACCACTGTAATCCCTCTAGATGCTGCGGAGGCAATCGACTTGCGAGGCACCACTGTAAAGTAATCCCTCTAGATGCTGCAGGTATTGAGTTATATCCAGAGATTCCATCTCTAGAAGCAGTGTGCTCTTAAGAGGAAACGACTGTTTATTTTAACACACAATTGCCTCAAACCATGTTTGAACAATTAGCTTGCTGTGTTTTTGCAATTGGTTAGTCAGGAGACTGTGTGGCTTTCCTTGTGTGTCTTGTCTCAGGCTAGTAGTACAGAAAGATTTACATGTTGGGCAGGGGGCAGATAGTGATATAAGGGATGGGGAGGAACAAGCATTACCTTTACCTGGGGTCTGATGCAAAGAAGCAAAAGCTGACCCTTATTTCTGAAAATAGAAAGACCAGCTCTTATCTAGGTTTATCTCTTGCCTCAGGCAAAATACATGTTCCTGGATAAGCAGAGAGCAGAAATAAAGAAAATAAAACATCTTTATAGATACAACACTAGAAATTTAAGTTTGAGCGATAAGTTAGACAAAAAAAGTACATCGACACAAAATTGTGCACTATTATCTAGGGGCTAAAATGAATACACACTTTAGAAGGCAAAAGTCCCTCTTGTGGTGGTGGGAAAGGATCTTCCTCTGGTTGTAGGTACTAAATGGCTAAATAGAATGTTCTCCTAGTCCAGGGGTTTCCCGACCTTGGGTCACCCAGGGGTTCTTGGACTGCAACTTCCACAAGCCTTTATCACCAGCTGTGCTGGCCAAGGTTTCTGCGACCTGCAGTCCAAGAACCACCTGGGTTACCCAAGTTTGGGAAACCACTGCCACATAATGTTACTATTGAATCAGTACACTATGCCAGGTGATTGCAATGCCGTGATATGGACAGTGGATGAAGCCATCTGACCCATGAGTTTTCACTTCCACTTCACATCTCTTTTGCTACCTTTGCCAACTCTTGCCAGTTTTAGTACTATAACTCCACGAATCACACACATTTTCATTTTTTCTCCCCAGAGCTACTTAAGGTGGTGCTGAATAGCTGTCCCCTTCAAGCAAGACTTCTCAACCCCTCCCCTTCCCCAGTGCAGTCATTATCCCTTGTGATTTCTGCCTTTGTGTACACACAACCCGCTGCCCATCCCTTTTCTTCACTGCTGACTGCAAAGAAATCTTCCTTTCGACTGTGGTGTCAGAACCTCAATGAGGAATCACCCATGGAACCAGAAGGGGGGCATCAAGGAACGTTACAACTTCTGTGAGGAACTGAAAGGAATTCCTCACTGGACTCCACAAACACAAACAAGCTTACCTTGGACAATAAAACCCTTTGGTATCAGATGTTTCTAGTCTTTTTGCTGGTTGTCCTCTTTCCATGAGTTATGGTGAATAAGGAAGGACCTGCTGTTGGGAAGTTATATGACAGCTAGAATGCTCCAAATTGCTTTGGAAAGCAGACAAGGCCAGAATCTGTCCACTTGTGAACGCTACTGCAGATCTAGTTCAGTGCATCAGGACAAATCTAGATGTATATGAAGCACTGTCTAGAGATGACAGAAGGTTTTGAACCATCTGCTCACATGGGGGCTATCCCTGCCATACATTTGGACTCCACAGTTGTCTTAGCCTGGTCACACCTAGATTATATCTTACGTACAAATGCATCGATTCAGACCCTGACAGGTGCTTCAGGAGGGAGTGATCCCAAAACAGAAACTGCAAAGTGTGCTTGTTTAACTCTTTCTCATCCATTGCAACTCTGCCACAGTACAATATTAATAATGCATAGCTTGTAAGGAAAGGCGGCAGTCACAGCACAGAGTAACTAATTCTGTCCCTATTCCAAACTGTCCTATCCTAATGCCATTTTCACTAAAGGAAACAGCCAGCAATCAGCATTTAATTACCTACATTTACCTCTAACATCTTGCTTGTCCCTCAGAATTTTCTAGGAAATCTATTTATTTGTTACATTTCTATAGCACCCATCTAGTGGAGAAACAATTGCTTTACAAATCAATTGATTGAAATAAAAAAGCAGTTTACTCAGAAGTACATTTCATATAGGGTACCCATTGTTATACAGTGGATAGGGTGACAGACTAGGATTCCAGAAACCTGGATTCAAATCTCTGCTTAGTCATGGAAACCTGTGGTTGGGTGTAAACTTGTAAAACCACTCCAAATATCTCACTTATCAAGAAGGGCCTATTAGGGTCACCATAAGTTGGCTCATCAACCCTGAAACTGGAAGGACAGATCCTGAAGCTGAGGCTCCAGTACTTTGGCCATCTCATGAGAAGAGAAGACTCCCTGGAAAAGGCTCTGATATTGGGAAAGTGTGAAGGCAAGAGGAGAAGGGGACGACAGAGCACGAGATGGCTGGACAGTGTCTGCGAAGCAACCAACATGAATTTGACACAACTCTGGAAGGCAGGAGGGGCTGGCGTGCTGTGGTCCATGGGGTCACGAAGAGTCGGACACGACTTAACAACT